AGCTTTGTCGCGAAGGTGTCGAAGTTGCTCGGCTGACTCGGAACGAACTTGTGGTAGGTCGTACAAAGTATTTACATGTGTTGTAACTAATAGTCGCGTGTTTTCGTAGCGCCCGACCAAACGATCCCACACGAGTTGAAATCCCGCCTCGGTTATCGCAATGTTCGTAACAAGATCCGCCGCTTCTCCTTGTAGACATGATAACAAATATTGAAATCTAGAAACGTTTGACAGACCTTGGCGTGCGATGATCATGGCTGAGAAACGATCTCGGAAGCTCTCCCACTCACTGATGGATCCGGAGAATTGCGGCAGATGAAGAGGAGGCAACCGATCCACAACGTTGCTGGATTGATGGACAGCTTCATCCGCTGGACGAGTCGTTGAAGTACCGGAAGAGCCAGCAGCCTCCAACTTGGAAAGAATTTCCGCCATGAAGTCCGACGTGTCCAGATAGATCTCGTGCAAAACCATGAAGCGCTCCTTCGTGAAATAATCCAAGCTGGCGCGCTCAGCATCCGTTGCGGCAGCGCTAATTTCTTTATGTAAAGTTTTGCACTCGGCAAAGGATTCACTAAGCCGTTCCAGTCGATTTCGAACGACGGCAACCGTCCACTTGTTTTTGCCCATCTTTTTGAAATTGTCGAGGGTACGCTCGACAACACGAGCGGCTTCGGTTTGTTGATGTAGCAGCGTTTTAAGGTCACCCATGATGAGCGTTCACGGGTTTTTGTCCTTTGACTTTGAATGTTCAACGGCTTAGTCACCGATATTTAACACCGAATTGTCTTTATTTTATCACGAATTTTCTTCTTTTTCTCCACAATTCACTGCAATCCGGCTCGAAGGACCAATGTTTGAGCGTAACGCTATTTTAAATTTCGCCGGAACTATCCTGACAAGGATATGCAGGAAGATTGTTGAAAAGGTAGTTTAATAAAGAATCGAAATTCGTCACTCAATGATAACACAAATCACTTTTATTAACTCCGCTTCCGCGATTGAAGTTTCGATAAACGTGTAACTTCCCGGCGATACGTTGAAGGCGAAGCGAATATTGTCGTTGAGTATTCGAGCAAGCGATAAGCGCGTGGTTAGATTAAGCGAGACACGTGTATTGCGTTCGATGTTTTGAACAGAAGTGATCTATCGATCACCTACAGGCACCGCGATCACGCGTGGCGCCAGGATCGAAGGATTGTGACGTCATTAACGGACGAGTTAATTTGTCGAGCGGGATTCTTAAACTAAGCGAAATTAATGAATAAAATTAAATCTTAACCTAATTGTAGTATTAATTTATAACCTTAACAAAATGAAATCTCGTTTTCCAGCAGAGCGGTTGGGAATTAATTAATTTTCACTTCGCAGGAAATCAAGTTTTCAAGTGTTCATTTCCTTGCTCGTTCGTCTCTTTTATTCTTTTTACAATTTTACACGACAAACAGATTTTCCTTTTTTTTTTTCTGAAGCAATGCTAATTGCATGGAATTATTTTGTACACAGAGTTCCTTCGATCAAAGTCTCTCGAAAAGTTTCAATTCGGATCGAACAGCGAAACAGTTCAATGGATCTGCTTACAAATCAGCAAGGTTTTTCTCGAAGCTCGTGTTCTTAGCATTACTTTTGCTGTTTGCCGAATCGATACCGTGGAAAATATATTGACACTTCCGTTATCGCAATGTGCAGTTCGCTAGAAAGTTTGGTCCACTTTAGTTAAGTCTTTATTTACTCCCACGTATTGACTACGCTGCAATATTTCTACTTTCAGATGGTAAACAATCTGTTCTGCACAATGAGAATGAATAACGGTGTTCGTCTACGGTGAAATTTAACGAGACGTTATAATTAAAAATTGTAATTAAAAATGAATTATTGGGAGTGGGAGCTCCAGAGTCACTAAGGGGATTACTGACAGAAGTACCAATATCGATATGCTACACTGGCGGAGTGTGTAAAGTAATTGTCTACAAATTCAAAGGACCCGAGTTCAAATCCCTGCGAGTATTTGCATATTTTCAATTTTTGTACTGAGCACCGATGACAAGAAGTCTCGCGGGACGGCACGGGGGGGGGGGGGGGGGAGTACTACGCACACATCGACTGACCTCCTAGGTTTACACAAGTCCAAATAGTAGATGTGACCGCTTTGACCAATCATACGTCAGGACTGAATGTACGCGTGAGGTGAGGTGAGGTGGGGCGCGACCAATCAGATTGCGTTATTCTCATGGGACTTTTTGTGGTCGGTGGACAGTACGTCATTATAAAAGTTACCAGAAAATTTATATTGTTTACTAGGAAATTGGATTCGAAACAAGAGTTTTTTTCTAAACGAATATCCGAGAGTTTCTGACGTCAATGTTACGGAAGTATCCGACTAGCTACGATACTTCCTTCTAGCTGCTAGCAGGTAGGTTGCTTTCAAAGTTTTTCACTGTTCCGGAGGTACAGGTTCGCTCGAAAGTAAAAGTCGCCCGAGAAACTGTCAGGAGTATTTCTGAATGAATAGTTGAGAATTGCTGCTACGCCAATATTGGCGAAGTATACGACCATTGACGAACAGAGTTTCGAGAAGTGGTGGTTGTTTCGAAGTTTCTTCTAAATGGTAAAGTATAGATCCACCTGATGATGAAAATAAAAGTCATGCGTGAAAACTGTCACTATGACTTTTATTATTCAAATAATGTTATTTAACCATTTGCTACACGGTGACACGTATATGTGTCGCCTTTTGCTCTTTTGCCTTTCAGTTCTAAAATTTTACCCCATGCTTATTTTTGTACGGAAACTTCATTTTGTTCATTGTATTTCATTATAAATAAATGAAGCATGAAAAAATGGTGTTTTTGTCAAAAAAAAATCGATGCTGATAAAATTCGAATATTAACATATCGATATTTTGATGCTGATTTATGTTTTTGGGATCGCTGATTACAAATCTCAAATTAGATTTCCAAAATTCAAGATGGCGGATTCAATATGGTGGATCAAAAAAATACGAGATATCGCTAATGCCGTGAAATTTCGAATATAAAAGTTTTTGGGATCACTGATTACAAATCTGGGATCAGATTTTCAAAATTCAAGATGGCGGAATCAATATGGCGGACCAAAAAAAAAGAAAATATCGCTAATGCTGCGAAATTTGGAATATAAGGTCTTTTAGGGTCGCTGATTAAGAATCTGGAATCAGATTTTCAAAATTCAAAATGGCGGATTCAATATGGCGGATCAAAAAAATACGAAATATCGCTAATGCTGTGAAATTTTGAATATAAGTGTTTCTGGGATCGCTAATTACAAATCTCAAATTAGATTTTAAAAATTCAAGATGGCGAATTCAATATGGCGGACCAAAAGAAATAGAAAATATCGCTAATGCTGTGAAACATTAAATATATGGGTTTTTGAGATCGCTGATTACAAATCTAGGATCAGATTTTTAAAATTGAAGATGGCGGATTCAATATGGCGGACCAAAAAAATAGAAAATATCGCTAATGCTGTGAAATTTGGAATATAAGGGTTGTTGGGATCGCTGATTACAGATCTAGAATCAGATTTTCAAAATTCAAGATGGCGAACTAAAAAATAGAAAATATCGCCAATGCTGTAAAATTTTGAATATAAGGGCTTTTGGAATCGCTGATTAAAAATCTGAAATCAGATTTTTAAAATTCAAGGTGGCAGATCTAATATGGCTGGTCAAGAATTGAAAATATTGCTATCGTTGTGAAATTCTATTTTAGCAGGTTTCTCTGTTTGTTGATCACGAATTTGAAATCTAATTTTCAATACTAAATACAGTAGATCCAATACATCGAATCAAAAATGAAGAAGGAACATTTTTGTCGTATAAACATATTTTTTCTTTCGTTTTCATTGTCACTTATTATAAATCACAGGTCCAATTTTCACATTTTTATGAAAGTTCAAGATTTTTTTCTTGTAAATATATTTTTTTTACTAATGTAAGCGTTAATAAACCCCTATATTCAAAATTCCACAGCATTAGCAATATTTTCAATCTTTAGTCTGCCACCTTGAATTTTGAAAATCTCATTTCAGATTTCCAATCATCTACCCCAGAACCCCTTACATATCTAAAATTAATGAACTTGTTTACTCAGAAAAATTCGCGCCAACTCGGTACAACCTGTACATAGTTGCACATTGATCAAAATTTTAATATGAAAATGCATCGTGGATGCTTCCTGAACGTTTTCCCCTTACAAAGAGCCGGAAGTCGTCGTGCAATCAACTTTATCCATCTGGCGCAGTTATTCTGCCAAGTCTGTTATTTCCTTAAACGAAGATACTTTCATTCGGTGAATTAGAATCAGAAATAGAAAAAACGTGAATTTCGAGAGAATAGTATTCATCTGAAATTGGATGTCTGAAAAATTAACGTTGAGGCACGTAAGGAATGAAGGAGAGCAAAGGGTATTTTTCACGGGAACCGGCATCTGGAGCGCCTTATTATTGGATCCGTGGAAGGGTCAATGCTCACCGATCGAACAAGGTTAATTAATAACGAAAGATAACCGAGGAACCGCCGGGGAAAATGTTAAAAATATTCCAATGATATAGCACATTGTTGCAGAAGGACAGAAAAATATCTGGAAATAACACTTTGCCCCCTGAAAAAGACATAAGGTCCGAGGAAAATGGCATGTACGGAAAAACGGGTATCTCGTCCGACGACCCGGACCAATTGCAAGGGCAATGGCATCTGAAAAAAAGGAAAGAAGAAACCCACCACCGTAAATCATAATCAACGGGAGGGGTAGCATTGCGGATAATCCAAGGCGTCAGAATTTATCCCGTAGGGATGATAGCGGGTAAGGGTTCGAGTGGCACTTGACGAACCACCACCATCACCCGCCGCCACCGTCCTTCTTCAACATCCTCGCGAAACAACACCGGGAACACGCTCGAAATACGCGCGCGCGTCGATTTTCGGGTTGGTAGGGAGGGTGTACAGTTGGTATCAGGGCTCCTCCGTCCACTCAGTACTCTCTCGCATCTCGTGCCGAGAGGAATCGAAGGGTTCGAATTCGTGAAATTCAACCTTTTTCGTTTGAATCCATCCCCCTCCTTGCCGGATAGTCGGGTTAGGGAAGGAATCGTAGCAATAAGTGGCTGGTGGTGGATGGTGGTGATAGTTTTCATTTTAACTATGGTGAATTTTCACGGAGACACACCCCCGGAGAAGACGTGACATATCGGGGATGAAAGGACGACCGATTATTAGGTTGGATGGATTTAAGTCCCGCAGGAAGGGCGCGTTTTTTAGGGAGGATTGGGTGAGCATCCTGTTTACCGGAGGTAGTTGATCTTCGTCAAACGGGAGGACAGTATCTGGGTTAATGCTTCGTTATTTCGTTTTCCACGTCGCTCAATTAATTGGACCAATAAAATCTTTCATCCCTCCCTGCGTGGCCCCCTCGGAGAGCCGCGTAACTGCGTGTTATCGCGGCCGTTATCACTGGGGGATGTTATTGCCGCCTCATATGGGAAGATATGGGCAGCTATATTTTTCGTTTTTCTTCTATTTTCCAATATTAATCCTTGAAAGACTAATTTTTTATCCGGATATTGTGGGTTGCAACTAATCACTTTGATTTTATAAATAAAGTGTCCAAAAATGATTAGAACAGAAAACAGCGCAGAATTATCGTTTATTTCAGCTTATGTTAAGAATATCCACGAAAGCTTTATACAGTTATCTTCAGCACACTTTACGCTTTAAAACGGTGTGCCATAAGTGGTTCTTTGTAATACTTTTATGTCACGAAATTGTGTTAGAATTCGGGGAGGACCGCAAATCAGCTAACTCATTAGCACTCTATTATTTATTGCAACAAATCAATTGTAATAAACATATTCGTGAATCATTGATAGAGTGATTTTCAGGAGACTTTAAACTTTCATTTGATATGCCATACATGGTATTTTGCGATACTTTTATGTCATGAGTTCGCGTTAGACTTTTCGTGTTTGAAAATCTGTCATAATCAAATTCTTTCTGAATAATCGATCGATTTCTATTTGTTTCACGATTATTATGTTCAACGAAGGGAAATTTAGAGGAGGAAAGAGAAAAGTGAAAGTTCTTAGATCGGATTGGATTGCGATGCAGCTTACGTTTAATTTAACCAAATTACACTTGGGATAGTGGTTGTCGGAGCAGAAGCGAGTAAGATTCTAGCCTGGAATCTCAGAAGAGTTGCTTGACCGAGGGAGAATTTCAAGTGGAATCAAAACAACGAAGGACATTTGCAATATCCTTCGAACAACCAGCTAATCCTCTTTTCCTCTTAAAATTTGCTCCGTTGTATCGCGAGGATTTCGTTCTCTTAGCAAAGAGAGGAAAAGCAACAAAAGTGGTGCAGAACTGGGGAAACTTTCAAGCTTATTTGGGAAAAATCACCTTTACCTCGAGAATTTGTAATTAAACTTTGGAATTAAGATATTATCTATGTAGAAAAGGAAAAAAAAATCGATATTTCAATGCACATTTTTTCTGTACGGGTGAACACGTTTTTTAATTTCCTATTCCAAAGGGAGACGAAAAAAAATCCCGGATAAAGTTTGAAATAGAGTCAGGAAGAAGTTAAGGTTCTTATTCAACGAAGAAATACGAGCGAAAGAATCTGCCATTGTAAAGATTAAGATGAAAGATGGAATAAGCTGCTATAGTTTTCGCTGTCTCGAAGGAACTCCTCCCCTGACGACCTCTTTTTCAAAGGGTCACACCAGAAGTCCAGGATCAAATTTTTAATCGTTTACTGTCAGAAGATCACCGATATGGTTTTCATACATTTCGTACGAGTCGCGAGGAATCTCGTTTATACCGAACGAAACGTCGGAGTCGGGTTACAAGATATCTCGTTTTAATGTTTATTTGCGAATCGACGACTCGAGAGATTAGAAATAGATTTTTTAATAAAAGGCAACGATTTTTTAATATAAGGCAACGAGTTTTTAATAGAAGACTACGATTTTTTAATAGAAGGCATAGATTTTGTAGTAGAAGGCATAGACTTTTTAGTAGAAGACATTGATTTTGTAATAGAAGGCAACGATTTTTTAATAGAAGGCATAGATTTTTTAATAGAAGGCATAGCTTTTGTAGTAGAAGGCATAGACCTTTTAATAGAAGACATTGATTTTTGAATAGAAGGCATAGATTTTTTAGTAGAAGTCATAGATTTGTTAATAGAAGGCAACGATTTTTTAATAGAAGGCATAGACTTTTTAGTAGAAGGCATAGATTCTTTAATAGAAGGGATAGATTTTTTAATAGAAGACATAGATTTTGTAGTAGAAGGCATAGATTTTTTAATAGAAGGCCTAGATTTTTTAATAGAAGACATAGATCCTTTAATAGAAGACATAGATTTTGTAGTAAAGGCATAGATTTTTTAATAGAAGGCCTAGATTTTTTAATAGAAGACATAGATCCTTTAATAGAAGGCATAGATTTTTGAATAGAAGGCAACAATTCTTTGATAAAAGGCGTAGATTTTCTAATAGAAGGCCTAGATTTTTTTTAATAGAAGACATAGATTATTTAATAGAAGACAGATTTTTTAGTAGAAGGCATAGATTTTTGAATAGAAGGCCTAGATTTTTGAATAGAAGGCATAGATCTTTTAATAGAAGGCATAGATTTTTGAATAGAAGGCATAGATCTTTTAATAGAAGGCATAGATTTTTGATTAGAAGGCATAGATTTTTGAATAGAAGGCAACGATTCTTTGATAGAAGGCGTAGATTTTCTAATAGAAGGCATAGATTATTTAATAGAAGACAGATCTTTTAGTAAAAGGCATAGATTTTTTTAATAGAAGGCATAGATTTTTTAGTAGGAGGCATAGATTTGTTAATAGAAGACCTAGATTTTTGAATAGAAGGCATAGATTTTTGAATAGAAGGCAACGATTCTTTGATAGAAGGCGTAGATTTTCTAATAGAAGGCATAGATTATTTAATAGAAGACAGATCTTTTAGTAAAAGCCATAGATTTTTTTTAATAGAAGGCATAGATTTTTTAGTAGGAGGCATAGATTTGTTAATAGAAGACCTAGATTTTTGAATAGAAGGCATAGATTTTTGAATAGAAGGCATAGATTTTTGAATAGAAGGCAACGATTCTTTGATAGAAGGCGTAGATTTTCTAATAGAAGGCATAGATTATTTAATAGAAGACAGATCTTTTAGTAAAAGCCATAGATTTTTTTTAATAGAAGGCATAGATTTTTTAGTAGAAGGCATAGATTTTTTAATAGAAGGCCTAGATTTTTTAATAGAAGACATAGATCCTTTAATAGAAGGCAACGATTCTTTGATAGAAAGCGTAGATTTTCTAATAGAAGGCATAGATTATTTAATAGAAGGCAACGATTTTTTAGTAGAAGGCATCGATTCTTTAATAGATGGCATAAAGTTTTTAGTAGAACGCATAGATTTTATAATATAAGGCAACGAGTTTTTAATAGAAGGCAACGATTTTTTAATATAAGGGAACAATTTTTTAATAGAAGGTAACGATCTATTAATAGAAGGCATAGATTTTTAATAGGAGGCAAAATAGAAAGCAACGAAACCTTGCATATTCTTACAAGTAATTCGCGAATGAAATTTATATCGAAATTCCGAAAAATGAGGGAACAATCTTTCAGTATTCTGTGTCGAACATGCATCGTACCTTATAAAGTGTTTTATCATTGTACAACATTTTATTTGAAAGTTCGCGTTTTAATTGATGGGGAACCAATTTTTTAATTATTATACAAAATAGATCCTAATTTTTAAAAAATTGCAAAATCTCTCATAGAAATAAAGAAAATGAAAATCAAGATAATTTATCAGATACCACAAATAACACTTTAGATGAAAATTAACTTAATGACAACAGTGCAATTAAGTGCAATTCAATTAAATAATGTTATTAAAAAAAAGATAAAGGATTTATAATTTTTCAAATGTGAGGTCGACCAGAGCGTCCCACGCAATGTGTTAACCCTTTTCTTTCCTTCGAAGATATAACAGGTAACTAATTTCCGATTCTCTCTGATTGAGAAAAGTGTGTCATAGCGAAAGAACCTTTGAAACAATTTTCCACCCTCGCCACCAATTGAATCTAGAGTGCACTCCGAACTAATTAACCTTCAAATCGAGCTTAAGAGAGCGCACATGCGTCTGTCATAATTAATCCTTAATTAATTAATAGCCTGCTTTCGAAACGGTCTGGCACTCTCTGTTTTCGATACTTGGCTGTATTACAAGAAATTTACTCTGCGTGTGTGATAAATTTACGTTAAACAATAACTCGTATTTCCATCGGAAATTGTTTACTTTGATTAACGTTTAATTAGTTTATAATTAATAATACAGGTAACCGATACTTTAATATGGAACGTAACGATAACAAGTGTGGTAATTACTGTGCAAGGTATTATAACAGATAATAACGAGCATCAAATTATTGTTTACACCTGGTCGCTGAATTTCATTAAGCTTAATTTCATTAACTGGTCTGATTATAACCGTTCGGTGAACCAACGTGTAGTTGTTCCTCGTAATTAGTTTTCAAATTTCTCCATAAACGGGATTATAACAATGTTCCTAATTTTCTTAAAATTTTCTTTCTTTCTTCTTAAAGATAGCAACTTAGATTATTAATCAAATGGATTTCCAAACATCTATTGATTAAATAAATTATTTGATCAATTTCGTCACTGTATATATTTCTAAAATTAAAAGATTTTTATTTGAAAAGAAAAAAATGGCAAATCATTTAGTGTTTCTTCGAAGCATCGGGGAAACTTGAAACCGAGTAATTGAAACAACTCAAAGAGCAAGAAACTTTCGACCAGTTTAAAAACGAAGGAGCTTCAAAGGAGAAAAAGTTGGCGATAAAAATAAATTGATAAAAGGAAGTCTATGTATCAGCGTGGAAACGTGGAAATTAGGACGGCAAACAGCGACAATAATTCAATAGAGGCGGGTGCTGCAATATTTAAATGACCCAGAGACAACTCTCGCTGCCCGAAAAGGGGTAAAATAAAGGCGCAACGACAACAAATTTACGTGCGAAGCTTCCCTACCTTCCTTCGGCAGACCTGTGTCACGTCGATGCTCGGAATTACCGTTAATTAATAAACGAAGTTACGCCTTTTAGAATTAACGCTGGTACGTGGTGCGAATACCTGTCTGTTCGATCTATCTTGTTAAGGAAGGAAAAATCTTTTGATACACCTACGTTGATACAGATTATTATTTTTCTGTTCAAAATATA